TATCATCCATTTATTATAGTTTAACCTTTTCAGCTCCTTCACAGGTCCCTCATGGGGCCACATAACAAGAGCGCCCCACAGGCTACATCTTACCGAGCACCAAAGGTTAAAACATGCAGAGGCATGAAATCACCATTCAACTCATGACTCATGGCTCAAGAAACATCCCTTGACTTCTTTTATGCTGAAAATGTATGACTTTACCGGTGATTCCCTAACCAAAGAATGCCAAAAGGCCCCAAGTGTGAGATTGCTGCGTTGAGGGAATGCTTATCGAGAGGCAGCGCCCTCCTCCCCATCCCACTCTTCATCCATAATTGCTTTCCAGGCCCGCGTTGGAAAGTGCCTGAAGCTGTTATGTTTGGCAGGAGCAGAATGCACCGGAGATAAGTTGAAATCCAAGACTATGCCCCAATTGAGACCACTGTGGCATAACGAAACCACTATTCTCTCCTCTTAGTCGGAACGGAGCATTAGTTTTTATTTTAACAGGGCATTCAAATAATTGTAATTTACAGCTAATGTTACATGAAGTTTGTGTTGTAGCTTGAAACTCCAAACGGTAAATAAGAACACAAACTCACACACCCACCAGTGTTAAACTTAAACTCACTCAGGCACTCTCCGCAAACACAAATACAAAGTACTTAATATATAATATTTTACTTCAATACATTTATCTGACAGATTTTGCATTTTTTGAAATCTTAATCTAAATAAACCATTAAAAAACACCTTGGAGCGGGATGGAGTGGTTCATTCATAGCATAACATTAAACATCTACAGCAGTAAAACATAACCTAAAAATAGCAGTACAGTACTGACAGGAAACATTTTACTGCGCAATTAGTCCTGTCACTCCTTATACTTTAAGTAAATTATGCTGATAATACTTTGAACAACTTTGACTTGTAGTACAGTGTGTCCCAGTGTTGCCTTAGTACATTTGCTTAAGCAAAAAATGGGAATATTTCTTCTACCACTGTCACAAACATAGTTTACTTGTGCAACTTCTCATTTGTCTTGCTCTCAAATTGGCTGGTACCAAAGCATAATCCTAATGAAAGGTAAAAAATTGCGCTGCTGTTCAGAGAATAAAAGATGTCACTGTCTGAGATGAAATGTTAAAGATCTCCCGTCTCCAGCTGTCAGTAAAGCTTAAGTTTGGAGAGGGATGACTTCTCCTTTGACTCCTTTGTCTCCTTGTTAAAATGCCTTTAAGCAGTGTGACCCTGCCAGAGCACGGATATGTCTAAACAAACTCTGTCCAGTGTTTGTGCAGAAGATTCTGCTTTGTAAATTTCTTGTGTCACTTCAGCGGCTGAATCAAATGTCCAGTAAAGGTGCAGTGTGGATTGCGTGATGATTGACGTCTTTGCAAAAGAGGAATGCATGGAATAATAATAATAATGACATTGGGAGCATATCATTGGATCTCATCATGCTTCAGTATCTCTTAGCTAATGGTGCTAACAGCGCAGTACAAACAACGGCTTTATTCATGCTCTGAATGTCATATATGTTCAAACTCAAATCACATAAAAATATCTCGCGTCTCGTTGGAGGCGTCAAGTCAGCCAACTTCGTGGCATTCCATGGTGCCTGATCTTTGATGGGACTCCCCTCGTCTGCACCCAACCCTCCTCCACCGGTCTCACATGATATCAGTTGGGAATCTGCATGATAGCTGCGTCAGAAAGGCAATCTGGGCGCGTGGGGGAGGGTTGTTACGCCAACTCTTCCCTCCATCTCCACGGAGAGACGGATGAGAGTGATTTCCTGTCGGCCCGCTCCTCTTCACTGAGAAAATGAAACCGAGGATCCTGCCGTAAGAAAAGGGAACCCCGTGGGATTTAACATCGTCTTCCGCTCTCGTATTCCGCCCCCTTCAATCTCTTGTCTCATTCTCTCATGAACCTTTTCTCGGGTCCTGTATTCTCTTTTATCGTTCATTCCATCCTCACCCTTAGCTGGTTTTGTCCTCTTCTCTCATTCCCTTTGCCCTATTCTTCAAGAGTTTCCTTCCCTTTTCATCTCCTTCACAAGTTTCTTTCGTTGCTTGCTCATCTACTCTCTCCTACTACAGTCCAGGCCAACAAATGCTTCAGCGTGTCTAGAAATAAATTACCCTTCATTCTGACCCAAATCAAACATGCATGAAAATACTGGGTAAACAGGATTTAAATGGATTTCAGAGGCATAAATAAAATACAAAAAAACATTTTGTCTTGGCCAAAATTCAGCAAGACACTTAAAGGCATTGAAATGTTATCTGGGTGTGGAGAGTTTAATGCTCTGGAGGTGAAACTGGCGGTGAACCCTGCACGTCCGCCAGCTGATATCTGGGAGAGACCAATATGGCAGAGAGGGCAGCCGGCAAAGATGAAGAAGACAAATGTTTCTGTCAGAGCACCAATCATTCCGCGCCGCGCGAGGCGAGGCAGATAACTTTCTCACTTTCTCGACATCACTGAGAAAGTTCACCCGTGTTGTCAAACGCAATGCCTCAGAAATCTGAATGCTAAGTATTTAAAAGGTTGGACTGCGTTAAGCGCTTCCGCGTGCTTGACCAGGCTGAGTGACGAGGGTGATGAAACGGCAGGTTTGAAGAAGCATAAATGATGTTCAGTGGAGCCGGTGCCCTAATTGATGTCCCTTCTCTCTAAAATGTCAATAGGTTTATTGCCAAGAGAAAAAAATAAATTGGTGGTTTACTCGGGGTGCTCGGCTGCTCCCGTTAGAGGGGGGAAATCAATTCTCATCCAAAGCTGGGTTTACTGACGCATTACAGGCAAATCCTCATCAAATCAAAACATACACCGTCACTGAATATTGGCATTTCAGGCAGTGAGAAAACAGATGCTGCCGTCAGCTGTCTGGAAATACGAATGACTCGTTTCAAAGCTATTTGTGCAAATTCCTTATTGACGCAGTAACTCTTGTTACCAGGAGCAAAAGCCGAAAAACAGCCTCTGGCGTACGGGCCGCAGCAAATATATCAAACGCATTTCAACGTTCTGTCTAACAACGAGTCCACGCTCCACGTCAACGGAGTCACAAGACCCACATGGATACAGGAAGTCAATCATTGGAACTATTCTAACTCTCGAGGCCACATTCCTAACTCATAACAAACCTGGTTGGTTTTAAGCTTCTACAATAAATATTTCAGGATGTTCTGGTTGCTAAGGCGATAAGGTGGTTGAAGACGAACCACAGCATCCAGGTTAGCTTCCAGCTGCATGTCTCTCTTCCCCCTCAGCTCGTCAATCTGCTGTCTCTGAAAGATTTAAACTGCCTTAAAAAAGGAATCAAGAACCACATTCCACATGCAACGTCACTCTCAAGTGCCTATAACTCAACTGTCAGATAGATGTACAGAAATGACACTGCAGTACAGCAGTGACTACAGTCAACATTAAATCAAAAATGTAATTAATGTAAAACGGTGGATTTGGCTTCAACCAGTCGCATTTTCTGACGGATTGTGTTGATGCCCTTCAGCGACATCACAAATCCCCTGAGTGCAGCTTTAAAATGATCTTTAAATACCAAACTAATGCCTAACATGTGTGTGCAAATGTACATGACTGTATATATGAGACGATCGGCTGCATCCAGGACCGGCACCATGAAAACGACGAGCAAGGAGGAAAAAACATTGATATGCATATACACTAATTATATATATATATATATATCCATATATATATCCAGCAAATATATCCAGCAAATATATGTTCATGCTGCTTTTTTGTCTCTTTCACACAGCAACAGTATCTTGAGTGGCAAACCATATGCAACCTATGACAAAATATGATGATGTAAAGGATGCTTTCAGGAGCCAACTTTTTATTTTCTTGAAAAATAGAGCACTACCACCATTCAAAATGTTATCAGTCCGCCCATGGGATGGATTACAGAACTGACCTTCAGGACACAGGTTGAAGTGACTGTCAGCGTTTCTCGGTAAAAAGTCAATGCAATTACAACAAAGAGACACAAAACTATAAAGAGAATCAAAACGTTGTATAAACATCAGCAAAAATAAAAGAGACTAAAGAACAATGCGACAGAACTCCAACTAAAAAATACAAAAACACTGTAAACCAACACGGACAGCTAATGACACCAATAACACCAAGATAAGCAAAGAGAGGCCAAAAATAAAGAGACACACCATTACTGCCGAGATGCAAACGGATAATGAAGTAACACATAACGACCACAAAGATACAAAGGTGCAAAGCAACTATAAAGAAATGTTAAATGAGAGAGATGCAGCGACCTAAGTGGCCCACAAAGAGCCACACAAAACAACAAGTGAAGAGACAAAGAGACGTGCATCTGATTCCTGTTGTGTCTCTTTTAGTTTCCAGGCTCATTGTCTCATAATCTGTGTCCGCCCCAAAACTGTCCATTTATGAAACACCTTAAACATCTCAGACCCAATGGTTGGAGAACTGTTGCATCCATCTTGTGGCTCAGCAGTGCCGTCCACAAAACACAAACCGCCCCACAGCCCCATCGACCAAATTCCCTGCATTGTATAGCCTTTAAAAAAAAAAAGCCTTTACTCGCAGCACCTTCCCTCCCAAGCACTCACATTGATTGTTCTCTCCTGGCTTGGTAAATAGATGGAAGTCAATACACCCCAGCTGTGACGTCAAGGGTTCACCTCTCTGCAGGTCCTGCATGGCTCACCAATTAGAGTGCAAGGGATTTCATTTGTAGCCTATAAGCTGTTATTAGTAACGACAGGTGGGTATTGAGTGTGGCACAACAATGCGCTGTGTGTGTGTGTGTGTGTGTGTGTGTGTGTGTGTGTGTGTGTGTGTGTGTGTGTGTGTGTGTGTGTGTGTTCCAGGAAAAGAAAGTGAAGGTGCATAAATACACACAAACGAGTACCTGAAGGGGAAAAGTGAAAGTGGCAGCAAATTAGACAAACCCACTTGATGCCATCCACCCACCTCCTGCGCACACGCACACACGTGCTTACCTTATGGTCGATGATGCTGCTGTACCCCTGGAGGACCGGCGGATGAGGCTTGGCCACCCGGACGGGGGCTTCGGTGGGCCGCCGCAGATGTTCGTGCTGTCGGACGCGCGTGTCGTTGGCGTCCCTGGAAGCGCCGTTGAAGCCGCCGTTGTACACGAGGAACAAGCTCGCGCACAGGAGGAGCACGAGGAGCACGGCCATCCCGTGGCGCTGACACAGAGACACAAACAGATGCTTTTTTTAATTCGTCCGGCGGCGGCAGCGGAGCGTGTTCGGGCTGCACGGGCTGCGTGAATCATCGTCACGTGGTCCACCCCGCGCGCACAGCACACTGCCTGGATGTCATATGTCACCCACGAGTAAAACTACTGTCACCTGCTGATTTGTGACGTGGACGCACCCCGCCCCCCCCGCGTGGTAATCTCCAGTTACTTTGCGAGCACGCATGTTATTGCTCACCTCCATGCAGGAGCAAATACACGCACGGTTGCAAAACGCACGATAAAGTAAAGTATTGTGTCTTGACCATGTAAGTTTCAGCTTGCAGGTTATTCATCGCTATTCATTCAAATGTGCACACGATAAACAGCTAATGACAAGATTGATTTGTTTAGTTTTCATTGTTTGTTTAATTGTTGTCTCAATTTCGCAACATGCATCAACACAAGACACACTAAAGCAAAACAACAACAACACATGGGCACTTTTTTGCATGGAACGGCATTAAGATAAAGACAAAAACAGAGCGCGCTGTGATGTTTATTATAAGAAAAGAAAGCCGGAGCTTAGAGCCAAACAGAGCGCCCAGCTGGATGTCCATTGTTCAGATCCTAATCTTTTGATCCGACGCAGCGCACACAGCAGCGTTACGGCGATCGGAGCGCACTTCGCCGAACAATGCTGGAGGTAAGAGCCGCCAGCAGAACAACTGCTAATCTATCGCCGCGCGCCAGAGGAAGCCTTTACCATAGGTGTCTTCATTTTGCAGAACGCTCGTCTCTCGCGGCCGCGCCTCAGTGCGTCCGAACTCCACTTCCCCTCACCGGCCAGCCTCCGGCACCGGCTCGCATCCCGGATGCGCGCTGAACCCGCTCCGCCTGCTGCTGCTGATGCCGCCGCCGCCTGGTTGCGTCTTCAGACCCGGAGCCCGAGCGCAACTCGCACAGTGGGGACAGATGTTGGCTACCGCACCTCTGCTGGGTCTTAAAGCCCCCCGAGTTTGACGGCGCTGATGAGCGCAGAGGCGCGCGCGCGGCGAAGTTAATCAAGCGAGACTTCTGCCTGCAGGAAGCGGCCGATAAGGCGTTTTTTTTTATTTAAACGTTGTTTCGTGCTGGGCGGTGTTTGATGGGGATCCAGGCCGGGATTACGGTGAACACACGCCGCGTCGTCGTCGTCGTGTGACGTCTGCTCGCGTGAAACACGAGACTCGTGAACGTGTGAGAAGTTAAACAGCAGCTGGATCCCGGAGAGCAAACACTGGTTCTCAGGTAAATGAAATGCAGCCAGGTACTTTCACTTAAGTAATGCACTTCTGTTCACATTTGAGGTCAACTTGACTGTTTGAGTACTTCCATCTCATTCCACTACAATTTCGGCGCTACTACAGCTCACGTTTCAGAAATATTATGCTCGTAACGCCACTGCAATTATTTGACAGCTTGCAAATTAAACACACAATACGCTTATACTTTTTTTTTTAGATGAAACCAGACAATTTAAATAGCAATATGCATTTTGATGGCTATATGTGCATCAACTTCAGCTTCACTTCAACACTGATAGTTATCTTAATAACAGACATTTTCTCCATTACATTAGGTAACATTTTCTACATTAGTTTCTAACTTCCAATTATCCCCTCTGTTGATGCACTAAAACTTCATTCAACAGCTTTTAATGCAGTTCTTGTTGATTCTGTCCAGATGTCTCTTTCCTCGTATGCACATTTCATTATGTAGTTTTGTCTTGTAAGTAGAGGCTGAATAAACGAGGTTGAATAAATAAGATTAGTTTAAACACACTGTGGTTTATTGTGCTCATACTGTCTTATCCTTCCTTTTTATGAGATGTGCATTCAAATGAGATGCAGCACATTACCTCAATAAACGTTGCAGATTTTAGCTTCAACATGAACACAAAGTAAATTATTTTCAGTGTTGGAGCTCTGATACAGAATCTGTGCTGTTGCCTTTTCATTGTTGTTGTCTCGGTAGTGGATACGTATCCGTGCTGTGTGTGATTCTGTTATAAGTGTCTGTGTAGCACAATGGTAATTTGTTTACACTGACACCCAATTAGTCACTTCTTAAATATGTTGCTTTTTCTTTCTATGGGTGGAGTTCTATGGCTGTAAGTGTCGCATTTAATGTTTCAAGAAGTTGCATAATCGTTTTGCATCAGTATTAATTAACTTCATATGAGTTTCATGATATTTTTCAAAACAAGAGCTGCATTGAGATAAAACTAGCAAACCAAAACACTGCAGGAACATGCACGGATACTTTTTAATGAGAAATCAGAAAGACGGCCAAAATAATTTGTTCTTTTAGCCATCCGCTGTGTGTTCTTAATGGACCCAGCAGCTCATTTAGTGAGCGACTCCTAAGTGTAACAACTAGGAAGGCTTCTCCTTCCAGCAGCAGTTAGATTTGTTAATGAACGCTTTTAGATGTGTTTTTTCTGTATTGATGTTGTTTAATCATGTCGTGGCTTTTTCATGGTTTTATTTGTTGTGGTGCGTTTTTGTCTTTTGTTGCCTGTATGAAGGTTTCTTATTTTTTTCTCAGTCTGCATATACCGCATACACACACACACACATATTTAACCGTGTAGTAAAATATATAGAAACCAGTAAACATAACCAGGGAGAAAGTGAGAGAAGAACAGGAATAAGGTTACAGCATGTTTTAAGAGTGATGGGATTTAACCTGAGATGTTTTCCACCTCCAGCAGCAAGACTAAAGGCGATGAAATGTAAAAATGATGCGTTTAAGATCGACCTGCACAGCGCCGCTGAAAAACAAAGAATACACAACAGTCTTGTTGCTGTAAATAGTTTACTAAAGGTAGAGAGGAGAGGACACTGACTCTGTCACTCAGTGACATCGGGTCAGAAATGAATGAAAGAAAAAAGCATGTGGAAAACGTTTTCCTTTTCATAGGGGAAGAAATGAGCCATAAGTCTGAGTTTGTTAACTTAAGGAGTTATGAATTCAAACTAGCTTAAAACTATCAATTACAGGCTCATGTCAAAGGATGATTTTAGCCTTTAGTGCAACAGTGAGTCTAGTGTGAGTAAGCCATATTGAACAATATTTACAGATTATTCCTATGAATAGTTCCCTTAACAATAGCATTACTGGGTGTATCCTTTGGTAGCTGTGACCGCAGCGTCCGCACATCAATCCACCACACAAATCTACTTAAAACGTGACATAAAAATGCATTAAAACCGGAGTGGAGCTGCTTCAAACTCATTTGGCAGTGACTGTGTATAATCTGCAGGTTCTCACGGGAGATGCAAGGGAGACGTCCCAGAAGCAATAATCCACATCAGTGTCGCCATCAGAGTCACAGGAGGAGAATGTGCGATAACACGGAGGAAGGAACAACAACAACAACAGCACACACAGAGAAACATTTCAAAGAAAGGCCGTCTTTGAAGTGGGCTCTTACTGAAGGGCAGTGAAAGGGCATCTGGACCTCTGAGCTTTAATTGTATTGTTTTAGGAATTAATCCAAATAGGCAATAACAGGATTTAAACAATGTCATCGTAAAATACTTGCAGCAGTTACGCCATTTTACTGCTATTTGATGGTTCAGTTGCTGTCATTTGATTTAACAGTATCGGTCAACATTATCTCAGTATATTAGTATCAGTTTGGCAACAATGGCGACAAAACAATATGAAACACTGTGGATGAGCGTAACTGTCTCAGCCTCTCGGTTGATCTCCACTGGCTGTGCTCAGGAGGATGACCACCAGTTGTCCACGACAACAACACTGCATGATGCTAATAAATTACTAATATACTCCAACTAAATTCCTAATTTACATGCAAATAAAGGTAGATCAAGCACTTAGTAGAAAACAGGACTAATACCCTGCACTTTAATTCTCCTGGTTATTAGACTGCTTTTTCATATCTTCCTCGCCGGGAGTAAAGGATAGAGTTTAAGACTGGAATTGGATCAAAATGTTCGAAATAATATAATTATGAGCTGGCTGTGAACAGCTTTAATGAACCCTCCTACATTTTAATGATAAGTGTGGTTTATTGTGGTATTTGATACTTCAAAAGGGATTTAAATGAAAGGAAATTCTTTGATTGCTGCCGCTCCAACGGCATGCTGGTGTTTATACATTATACACAACTCTGCTTCAAGATAAAAGGATCAAACCTCCAGTGTGGGTTTGTGGCAACGATTATAAAGCCAGCGACAGAAGTAAGTGTTAAAGTCGTAATCCTGTATTTTGTCCTTCTTCCATTGGCTGTTAAAAGTCTGTGTTTATAACTTTGCTGGAGCAATCTCTCTTTGCGGCTTCTTTTTCAAACACACAGTAGTACTGAAGGGCGAAAGCATTCAGAAAGAAATGTGCACTAAATCTCAAAAATAACTACGGTTTTAGTGAACTTTAACTCAACGTCATTTCACTCTTGAGTATTCATGAGGGGCCCGATCACTGATGCGTGGGCAGCTCGGCCCTCTATACTCTCACCATGAGATGAGCAGTCATACGAATTCCAAATGCATTCCCCACACAGCACCGGGAGCCCGTCGATCGATGTTAACGGGCCTCCCAACGCCGAGGGAGCGGCTCTCGCTGACGAGGTTTCCGTTGAAAGATGGCTGCAGGTGTCTACGACGCCTGTGACACGCGCGAGGGCTCAGTCACTCGCTTACTGCCTTGTCTGGCCCGTCGCGTGGTCGACTGTCTGGGGTCCGCATGGGTGCTACGCTTCTCCCCTTTATGCTCGCTCTAATCCTCGGCAGATATGGTTTATGATAGTGAAAGCTGATCCAAATGGTGCTGCGGGAGGGGGACCTTGACGGGGGAATGTGACTGGCTTTTTGTCCTTTGCATAATTAGAGAGTACATCCAAATCACCCCGTTCAGTACCCCCGGGGCCCAGTGACGATTGTGCAGGCCCATTTTAATGCAGGCTCACTGTAGGATGAGCAACGATTCATGCAAGAAAATGTGAGATAGGAGTCATAATCGTTAGGTAGTTCAAATATTATATTGCTACCAAGTATAAGCAGGACTTTCTTTTCTTAATCACACATGCCTCTGAAAATATCTGCATTTCACCAGAGAACTGAAGTAAGATATGAAAGACCACTAAAGAGTCAAACTTGCTGAGGTTTTTTTAAGCAGACACTGCTTTCCAATTATTCCATTTATATCCATCTGTTCAGTTTCTACTTGTGGCAGTTAGCAGATGTTTGAAACTTCCCTTAATCCAACACACCCAAGTCTTTATTTATATATATATAATGAAATGTTATGTAGTAAATATTTTCACCTGAATAAGAGGTTCAATATTAAAAGGATGAGTCCAGAGACGACTATGCCCATAATTATGTAGCTCATGGAGTATTTTAGTGTCTTTCAGCACTTGTTTTGTTTTCAGAAAATCTGCAACTCCGCACTTATTTTGCAATCATTCCGTGTTTTTTTCCCCAAATAATTCTTATACATACAGAAATGAACTAGCTGTTGAGGAGAGTGAAAGTATCTAGTCGCTAAAGTGCCGTTTTATATTTAGGAGCTGGTGAGCAACTTCATCACGGGATCGTTTGCCTTTGTTCCATTGACAGCGTGTTGCCCTCGCCTGCATTTCCACACAAAGAAATATCACAGAGAAGGTTCACGACTCAAGCTGATTTAAAAAGGTTTTTGGCGGCTTGATTGATTATCATACTGTGACCAAATAAGTGGAAACAACTTCGGGAACGAATTCCTTAGAAGCTGTACTTTTACTTTAACATACACATGCAAATTGTACATATAGAAGCGGTTAATGAAGCCTCAATTAACTGTTTGTGTCCAATCACTAAAATCTAGGAAAACTGCCAAAGCGTTTGTGCTAAAACCTTTAAAACTGGAACATTCATTTTGACAAATATCTACAACTTTGACAAAAAGGGCAATACGGTATCTGCAAACATTACACACGATACCTTGCTTGAGACGCCAGCAGAGGTCAACGACGTAGCCTCCCGCTCCAAGCAGAGACGGTCAGCGAGCTACGGAGTCCGACGCTCGCTTCTCCCACCTCCATTTTCATAACATCGCCTCAAGTTGTGTCTCA